ATGCAGAGGGTCAGACCAGATGATCATAATGGTCCCTTCTGACCTTAAAGTCTATGAGTCTATGATCAGGTACTTAACCTGGCGAATTCCTTCCTAAAGAAGCTGACCAAATGCCTCACAAAGCTTACTTAGAAATCAAGCAAGCACACAGCCCATATTCTTAACCTCAAGTAGAAAATGATATATATGTACAAATAGGATGAATAGATATAGTAGACCATAACCTTTACGGAGATATGTTACATGGCACAGGCAGCACAAAACATATTTCAGTTATATCATACATACATTTATAAACACCCCCCCATAAAGCCTTATGGGGTACGCTGTCACATACTACCGTAACCAGCCCTAGTCAGAGCACAGACAGCATTTCTCTCCTGTATAGAGGAGTCTCTGAGGTCCAATATGGAGTTAGCTTCCCAATTGCAGCTTTCTCCATGCTAAGGACATTTAAAAGAACTCTTCCCTGTGTGGATTTGCTGATGCCTGATACGATATGTGCCCAACTGAAGCATCACCCACATTCAAGGTGTCTCTCCCACGTGGAGTCTCTGGTGCATGATAAGGTGTGAGTTCTTCCTAAACCTTTTTCCACAGTCTGGGCATTTATGATATCTCTTTCCCATGTGGACTTTCTGATGTCTAAGCAGGTGTGATCTCTGAATGAAGGTTTTCTCACAGTCAGAACATTTATAGGGTTTATACCCTGTATGGATTCTCTGATGCATAATGAGGTGTGAGCTCTGACTGAAGCCTTTCCCACAGTCCAAGCATTTATAGGGTTTCTCTCCCATATGGATTCTCTGATGTGTTACAAGGTTTGAGCTCCGATTGAAACTTTTCCCACAGCTCAAGCATTTATGGGGGCACTCTCCTGTGTGGATTCTCTGATGTTTAGTAAGGTGTGACCGCCGACTGTAGCTTTTCCCACAGTCCAGGCACGCATGTGGTCTCCCCCCAGTATGGATTCTCTGATGTGTAATAAGGTTTGATTTATCTTTGAAACATTTCCCACACTCGATGCATTTATGGGGTCTCTCTCCCGTGTGGATTCTTTGATGAGTAACAAGGTTTGTCTTCTGACTGAAACACTTCCCACAGTTGAGGCACTTATGGGGTCTCTCTCTTGTATGGATTCTCTGATGTAGAATAAGGGTATGGTTCCGACTGAAGTTTTTCCCACATTCGAGGCATTTATAAGGTCTCTCTCCCGTGTGTAGTCTCTCATGTCTAATAAGCTGTGAGCTGTGAATGAAGCTTTTCCCACAGTCCAAGCATTTATGGGGTTTTTCTCCTGCATGGATTTTCTGATGTGAAAAAAGGCTTGATTTCTGCTTGTAATTTTTCCCACAGTGCAAGCATTTATAGGGTTTCTCTCCTGTATGGAGTCTCTGATGTAGAATAAGGGTGTAGTTTCGCCTGAAACTTTTCCCACAGTGCAAGCATTTATGGGGTTTTTCTCCCGTATGGATTCTCTGATGTATAATAAGGGTATAATTCCGACTGAAACTTTTCCCACAGTGCAAGCATTTATGAGCTCTCTCTCCTGTGTGGATTCTTTGATGTTTAACAAGGGTTGACTTCTCAGTGAAACATTTCCCACACTCAAAGCACTTATGGGGTCTCTCCCCTGTGTGGATTTTCTGATAAGTAATAAGGTTTGAATTCTCATTGACACATTTCCCACCATCAAGTTGATTAGGAGGTCTTTCTCCCATATGGGTTCTCTGATGTAGAATAAGGGTGTAGTTCCGACTGAAGTTTTTCCCACAATGCAAGCATTTATAGGGTTTCTCTCCTGTATGAATTCTCTGATGTTGTATAAGGGAATAGTTCCGACTGAAGCTTTTCCCACAGTCCAAGCACTTGTAGGTTCTCTCTTCCATGTGGGTTTTTGGCTGGGCTGTGGTTTCCTTGTGATTGTTACATCCTACCCCATATTGAATGGATTCATTCACTTTCTTCCTTGGGTGGTTTCCCAGGTTCCTCTTTGATTTGTGTTGATTTCCCCGGGTTTTGACCTTTTCCCAGCATTGAGAAGAATTCCCTTTAGCTCTTCTCAAAAACATCCCCTGTGGTTTCACCAGTGTTTTACTTTCCTGATGTGGATTCTCCTCCCTGTTCTCACTCACAGTCCTATCACCTGCTGGGAGAGAGAGAATCCAGAAAAGAGTCATTCCCTGTGCTGGGGAGAAAGGGGGAAAAAAGAAGAACAGCCAAAAGGGAAAACACAGCAGCCCAATAACCATTGTGGGGGACTGAGAAATTGGATTCGACCTCCACATCCCATCCAAACTCTCACAGGGAAGTGAAGTCGGAGAGAAAACTCCTGACAGGGTAGGTGGGAAGCCATGATCTACCATGATGACAAGACACCTGCTGACCGCAGCCTGACCTGGGTGAGATGAGGCAGAACTGAGGGGGCTCACACCACATTATACGGATTTTCAACTTTTTCATTCATTCACCAGATGGTTTCCGTGTCAGTGTCACTGACCCTCTCACCTGTGCGGGTGCCTCTTGGGATCTTCCTTTCCTCTGAAGGCCTGGAGATCTGGGACCCATGGCTCTTCCCCTCGTTCCAGCTGGGCAATCAGGTTAGGTTTGGGAATGGGGAGTCCTGCTGAGGGGGTGAAATCAGGCAAGATCAGGGTGCATTGAGGATTTGTACAGTATTTGTCACAAAGAACATTCCCTGATTCTAACCTGGCCTCGTACCATGGTGGGGGTTGTGGGATCTGAACAGATGGGAATGTGGTCACAGAGCCCCCTTGGGAGAGGCAGATGTTTGGGGGTGGGGGGAATTGTCACACTCTCACTAGGAGTTTTCAGGATCTGTGGGCTCTGGGGGACTTGCTGAGACACAAACAGCTCAGGTTTTAAACCCCTGTCTATGTCTAAACATCCAGAGCCCCTCCCCAGAGATGGAGCTAGTCCTATGAAGGGAGGTGAACAGAGATCCTTGTGTGAGAGTGAGAATTAATGCAGATAGGATAATACACTGCTTCTGACCCCAGGAAAGCTGGAGTGATGGGCATAAATTAGAATGTCCATTAGATTCATGACTCCCCTATCCCATTGAAGAGGGTTTGGAGATGAACAGCTCTCTCACACTGGAGCTGTGGACAATACCAGTGATTCTCAACCAGGGGTACATGTCCAAGGTATGCAGAGATCTCCCAGGAGTTACATCAACTCATCTAGATATTTGCCTAGTTTTACATGAGGCTACATAAAAAGCACTAGCAAAGTCAGTAAAAACTAAAATTTCATACAGACAATGACTTGTTTATACTGCTCTATACACTACACACTGAAATGTAAGTACAATATTTATATTCCGATTGATTTATTTTATAAGTACATGGTAAAAATGAGAAAGTAAGCAATTTTCAGTAATAGCATGCTATAACAATTTTATATTTTTGTCTGATTTTGTAAGGAAGTAGTTTTTAAGCAAGGTGAAACTTGGGGTACACATGAGAAATCAGTAGTCTGGAAAGGTTGAGAGCCACTGGACTATGTGCCTATAGAGGAGCGGACTCACCCCTGCAGCCCTCCTGCTGGTTACTTCTAGGAATTAGCTCTTCCAGCATCCAGAGCACCCCCTGCAGGCTGGTGATCCGCCTTACCTATGGCCCTGTGTCCCTCCCAGGACCCCGGTGCCCTTGTACCTGGGGTGCTGCCCCTAGCAGTAACCCCTCAGTCTTAGGGTCTCCCCTCCCTGGGGAACCCCCACCTACTATCCCCACTTTGCCTCAGTTTTGGCTACTGCCCAGTCTCCATCTAGCCCCCATTCATTGGGGCAGACTGCAGTATCAGCCACTCATCACAGGCAAAGGGGTTTGGACCTGCTGCCTCTGCCTACCTACGGGCTGCCCCCTGCAACCCTACACCTACTAGGCCTTGCCAGGCCTGCAGCCTGGGGCTTTCTTAGGTCAGAGCTCCCAGCTCCTCTGGCCCATCCCCAGCCCTGCTCCCAATCTAGGTGTCTGGTAAAACTCCCTGCAGCCAGACCCTTCTCTCTCTAAACACACACAAAGAGAGAAAGAGACTGTTGAGCCCCTGGCTCCCAGCCTTTTTATACAGGCCAGCTGTGGCCTGATTGGGGTGTGGCCCAGCTGCAGCTACTTCCCAATCAGCCCAGCCACAACCTTCCCCCAGGGTTGTTTTAAGCCCTTCAGGGCAGGAGCAGGGTAACCACCCCGCTACAGTGACCCATTCCCATCTAATGTAACTGACCAGGGAAGAACCTGACCAGATTCAGAAATGCAGGCCCCATAGCTTCAAATAGCTGAGGGGACAGGAGTCCTTACCCAGCGAGGTCACTGTCTCATAATTCTCCTGCATGACATCCCTGTAGAGTGCTCTCTGATTGGGGTCCAGCAGAGCCCCCTGCCCCTCAGTGAAATACACAGCCACCTCCTCGAAGGTCACCAGCATCTGAAACAACAGGTGTTCCCCACTCAGTGCCTGGTGCCCCAGCCACAAGCCCACTATTCATGGGGGAAGAAGCACAAAGACATGACAACTCTGGGAGGGCCAGAGGAGCAGAATCCCACCCCCACCCTGCTCAGAGTGGCCAGGAGGCTCCAAGGAACAGAGAGAAGGTGAGAGCTCCTTGTCCCTCCCAGCAGACGGAGGAGGACAGGGTCTTCTCATTTACCACACTCCTACTAGGCACAGGCTGATATGGGACACAGAGCTCCGCACAGGGAACTGGGACAGAAATCCCAGCACCTTCCCTTTTTATTTCACTGTAGTCTCTACCTAGTGGGTTCAGGCTCCAGCACTCTGGTTTGTTTTTCCAGCCCGTCCAGGGGGGTTGTTTCCTCTTTCAGATATGGAGAATGTTCACACACAAGGCCCTAGGCTGAGCATGTCCCAGCACGTTTATCACACCCTGTCCCCCTCCCTGCTTCACTCTGTGTATTTCCTGCCCCTCCCCCTCCACAACAACCTTCCCCACCAGCTCCCCTACCTGAGCTGGATCCAAAACAGCCATTTCCCTTCCCTGTCCCTTAGGAAGATGGGTTGATCTGGAGCAAAACGTGGTCGTTATTCTGCAGCCTGTCAGGGTGAGAAGATGACTGGGGAGGTTTCAGAAGGGGTTTCAGTCTATTTCACACCCCAGTTCCCCTAGCTCTTTCCCTGCAGAGAGACACACTAGACTCTGCCACACTGAGAAAATGCTCAGTTATTTTATTACAATGTAAACCTGGTTCCTCCCACTGGGACTAAAACCTTGAGACACTTTTAAACCATCCCAGTAACAGAGTCTCTGAGCCAAACGGTAGAAAAGAGCAGAATCAATGGAGCTGCTTTGGGGGGTCCTCCTGACATTGTCCCCAGAGCAGCACATTCCCCCAGCAGCGCAGGGATTAGGCAGAGGCAGGAACTGGCTTTTCCTCTCTCTGCTCCTCACCTTCTTCATGAGAACGTAAGAATGGCCATACTGGGTCAGACCAAAAGTCCATCTAGGCCAGCCAGTATCCTGTCTTCAGACAGCGGCCAATGCCAGGTGCCCCAGAAGGAATGAACAGAACCGGTAATCATCCAGTGATTCATCCCCTGTCACCCATTCCCAGCTTCTGGCAAACAGAGGCTAGGGACATGATCCCTGCCCATCCTGGCTAATAGCCATTGATGGACCTATCCTCCATGAATTTATCTAGGAAAGTCAATCTTCCTGGGGTGCTACATTGACTGGAGCTGGGCAAGGTTGGGGTGTGGAAACCTCATTCCCCATTTACTGCTCCCTCTGCCCCTTCTGGTCTCTCCACATTACTGTTCTGTCTTCTTCTCTCTCTCCCCACCTTTCTGCCTGGGGAGAACTGGTTACTGTCCAATTTATGTGGGCATTTACTCCCTAATAGACACACCTATTTGCAGACACATGGGGAGCCCGTCACTCTCTAGTACAAACTCACCAGCTGCAGGCCCCTGAAAAGGGCTTTTTGTGTAGTCATTTTCCTGCCCATCCCCAGCACCAGGGCTGCCCTAATTGTAGCCACTGGGGAAAGTCCCCACCTGAGTTGGGTGCAGCGCAAGCTTTAAGAAGGAGAGACTGGCGTAACATTCCAATCTACTTTTGGACACAATTTGCAGCTTGCCTATTATTCAGCAAGATCATCCCAACTGAGCCTGCTTAGTAACATCTGCTGAAGGCGCTGCCCTGGCTCTGCCCTTTCGGTGAGTTACAATCTGCTCCCTGCTGTTCACAGGAGTTAAGGAGGCAAATCAGAGGGGAGGGACTGCACAGGAAGGTCAAACAGCTGGAGACACGGGAAGAAGAGGGGCAAAGTAAATGGCAGAGGGTAAGAGCCACAGTTCAGAATGGGGTACAGGCACTGCCAGACAGTGGCAAAGGAGAAAACCCCAGGATAGGGAGGGGCAGAGAAAAGTTCCCCCATACGGGATGAACTAGCTGCAGTGACTGCAAAAATGGGGTGGGGGGAAAACCAAATGTTTTTTTTCCTCCATCCAGCTCAGCAATTGCTTCCGAGGCTGTGTTCTTAAAGGCCCAGTGCATCCCAATGTCTAGACAAGGCAGCTCTTCCCTGTCTGATATGACATACAGATCTGTGAATGGAGACTTGATTCAATGAAATATTTTATGACCACTCCCCTCCAAAAATTAGAATGGTCAGTGTTTAGATGAATCCCTTATCAGTTTATATGTCTTCATAAAGTCTCATAGCAGGTCATAACTTTGTCTTAGCTGTTGTTCTGATTGCCTGAGTGGTACTGCCTTCTTCTGGTCATCCGTTGTAAATGGGGTTTCGTGGCTTTCAATTATTTACTTTTTAAAATTTTGATTTTATTGCTCTTTGTACTTCATCGTTTACCTTTGTTAAAACTGTGCAGATGGATGTCATTGTGCATACTTTAATAACAAATAATAATTGAATATCTTAATAGTAGCTTCAGCAATCACACCTCACAGTGTTTCTGCTATAACACTTCTTGTTTGTACTGCAATACTATTTTTCAAATCTAAATTTTTGCTCTTTTTTTTTAATTTAATACACAAGTTTATTCTTTGGGATCAAGGCTGACAGATTTCCTGGGTTGGTGTCAAAACTACTTCAGTTTCCTTTGATCTGCCAGTGGGGAATGCCTTTGTGTAATGTTATTTTGCCTCTCTGTCCAGCACCTCAATGCATTTTCACATGTCATCACTGAGGCTGCATGTCTGTCATGGAGGTCACGGATTCCGTGACTTTCCGTGACCTCCGTGACTTCTGCAGCAGCAGCAGCAGTTTGGGTGTGTGGGAGGGGGCTCAGGACTGGGACAGGGGGTTGGGGTCTGGCGTGGCACTTACCTGGGGGGCAGGGGAGGGGGGGCTCCCTGGCTTCCACTTGCATGTCACTGCAGCTCCCAGGCAGAGGGGCCAGGGGGCTCCGTGCGCTGCCTACGCCCGCAGGCACCACCCCTGCAGCTCCCATTGGCTGTGGTTCCCGGCCAATGGGCACTGGCATTTGTGGTGGGAGCAGCGTGCAGAGCCCCCTGGCCACCCCTCCCCCTAGGAGCGTGGAGCTGAGTAGGAAGCCTGTCAGCTCCACCAACCCAACCCCCCCCCCCAGCACCAGCAGGGGTCCCGGGCTGCCCGCTCCTGTCCCCCCCCCAGCACCAGCAGAGGTCCCAAGTTGAGCACCACTGCCTGCCTCCCCACAGCAGGAGTAGGAGTCCCAGGCCATGCGCCACTGCCTGCCTCCCCCCAGCACCAGCGGAGGTCCCGGACCATCCCCCCTGGCCCAAGTTTTAGTTAGGGGTTTATAGTAAAAGTCATGGATAGGTCACAGGCCATGAATTTTTGTTTACTGCCCATGACCTGTCCATGACTTTTACTAAAAATACCCATGACCAAAACATAGCCTCCATCATCACTCATGTACAGAACTTGGTTCCCAAATATTCACTACAGGCCAGACTTTTAAACGTTGAAAGCACCAAGGTGCTACTCACCTAAACCCCTTTAAAAATCTGACCCCAAGGGCACAATAGTACCTTGTATGAAATTCTTCTCAAAGACAAATTGCTACTGTTTTTAAAACTAAACATAGATATACACCTCCAAGGTAGATTGACAAAAACAAGAATTCAAAAATCATCAATTATGCACACAAAAATCATGAAATTAAACAAATAACTAAATATATTTTGCGTTCTTTTAATTCGCCTTTTGATTTCTGAGCTTTTAGGGCACATTAGTTTCATACTTCTGCTGTTACCTCTCCTAAAGAATTCATAATCCTAAAACGGTTGTACAATCCTATAATATTTTTGACTTTCAGTTACAAAGGTGTGTGGGAGTTACTGGAAATATATTAAAAATCCTTATTTCTATAAGTAACATCCCATCCTGCAAACACTGAAATCCACACTTTACTCTTCTGTTACTTCATTTGTTGCATACATAGATATTGATATTTCTACTGAATTGTTTATCCTTCTAATTGCATATTTTAATTTCATAGCCTTTTATGTATGATACATGGTTTGTTAGGATACATTTCAGTGATGTTCTTCGTTTGGACAAGTTTACTGCTTTGTCCTGCCAAAATCAAAGATTTTTTTTTAAATGAATGATTCAGTTACTCCTTTGCATTGGTTCAGTGGGAGGCATAGTGCTGACCTCACTTTGTTTGCTTTCTGATGAAACTGAAGTGCCTTTTCTCCATTCTGTTTTTACAGTGGGGATATCTAATGCAGGTTAGTTACCCTCTGGTAAAAACACGCATCTTCTTAGCATTGAGGACACAGATAATAATGCTGGTTCAGATGTTAAATGAACCATTATTATGTCTTGAGAACTCTGATATTGATCGTGTGGCTATCATTATTCCTTTGCCAGCAGAAGTATTTGCAACTGAATGTCTGCAGCCCCCGATTTGTGTGGGTGTCATGGAAAACCAGCTAAAACATTTTAAACTAAAAGTATTAACAGAGGCTTCCCCTTCCGTTTCCCTTATGACCCTTCCCTTTACTTATTAAGGGCTTGTCTACATGGTGTGACACTAAAGGTGTGAATTTAATGCACATAAGTTACAGGGCTTTAAACCCCTGCCTGGATGCTCTTATTCAGAAGTCAAGAGGCCTTAGTTTTGACAGTGGCAGTCAGGGCAACCATACAAGATTGCAGGAATCCTTCCCTGAAACACTGTCAATCATCAGGCTTATGACAGGTCTTGAATATTTTTTAAAGTTTTGTATAGTCCAGTTGTTTCCCATATTTGATTTTTTAAGCGCAAACAGGAGGGAAGCAATGAATCACTCATCTTAACTATCCCAAGTGTTGCCCTGTGTAAAGAAGCCATTGCAATATTTCACTAGTGTCATACTAGCTATTGCTGTGCATGCAGAGCGTATTGGCCTAGCTGTACAGTGATTCCCTCGATAAGCAATGCACAGAAAGTGGTTCACAGAGCAGGGATGATAGGTGGGTGAATGCCTGAATTCCATGCAGGGCCCTACCTGATAGGTAAGCTCAGAGGCTGTCTATTGGATCAGGTCCCATTCAAAAAATGGCCACAGGAGGCGGACATGGAGTAACCATCCACCTTTAATTCATACCCCAGGGCTAAAAGTTATAAGGTAGGCACCACCACCTCTGCCAAGGGCTGTTTTGTGTGTAGTTAGGTACTTGCCTAGCTCATTCTCTCAAGAAACATCTTAGGCTCCAGGTGAGGGGTTCCCATTCATGGATTGCTAGGCAGAGCCAGATGCCCACCTGCAGTGGAGACTTAGATGCCAACCTCTTTGAGAGAAGTGACACTTAGGAAACTTCCCTCTGATGGGCATCTCCCATTGGCTAGCTTAGGTTGCTCCCAGCTGGCTTTTTTGGATGGCATTCTCAGGCACCTATTTCCCACCATTCATTGTACCTAACTCAGGCTTTGTGGATTACGGCGTTGTTC